GTACTTCAATAGAATTTCAGCCATGTTAGATGATCTCCCTTTAAAGGAGTCAACTGCCAGCACACACTTATTGCCAGTTTATATCTCTAGACTTGTATTAAACAGGAGGTGTAGTGGGAAAGACCCAGCCCTGGCTGGTGTTAGAGAAGTAACAAATCAAGAAATCCCTTCTGAGCACCAGCCCTGGAGTCAGGAGGACCTGAATTCAAATCCAGTCTCAGTCACATAACACTTATTAGCCATGTGACTCTGAGCAAGTCACTTAACCCCAATTGCCTAGCCAAAAAAAAAAAAAATCTCTTATGGGCCTTTCCCCTGCTTACTGGGGTCAAGACAACCTACCCAATGAAAGTTTTCAGCTGTCTGGTAGATGCAGATTGTCTGCATGATTATTGCCTGGACTTCCATCCCAGCTAACCCCAATTTACTAGAAAAATGAACTTGCTGTTACTCTTGTAATCTAGGTGGGATTCTGGTAACCATAGAAAACTTCTCTGTCCCTCCATTTTCTCATATGCAGCTGCATCCTGTCGATGTATGATTGTCTCAGGAATGTTTAAGGATTAATTAATGCTTCTTCTTCCATACTTTAATGACATATTTTAATGAACTACAAAATCTTTAAAATGCTTTCAGTTCCTTGGAGATAGGTGCTAAAAGATACATACTGCTAGTTTTTTAAAAATAGATTAAGTGTTTTTGAAAAAAATCTCATTTTGCATTTCTATATAAAGTGAGATTTGATAAGTGGATTAGGTGATGATATATAACATGAAATCCTACCAATTATTAATAAAATAAAAGGAGCTAGAGTTCTTTATCCTAGAGTGATCCGTAATCATCTTTTAAGTACATAAAAGATTATTTAAGAGGGGGATAATCAGTTGTATGTTTCCAAAAAAGAAAACTGACTTAAGTAACAGGTGAAGCTGGGCAAAACATGAGGAAGAACTTTTTTGTTTGTTTGTCTCCACAGTGAGGGATGTTGAAGCATAGAATTGGCAGCTAGAAGAGTACATAAAATTTCCATCTCTAGAGATCTTTAAAAACATAATGACTGTTACGAGTACTGAATAACTTGGTAGAGGGCTTTACATATGACCTTTGATGTCTTTTTTATCTCTAAAAGTCTATGGAATTTAGATTACCACTGCATTAAAACAGCTCTTAACTGTGGCGTGTCACTAGGCTACCAAAAACCAAAGTCAAAATCTAAGCACACACACTCTTTCTCTGTCTCTGTTTTTGTCTCTGTCTGTCTCTCTTTCTCTCTATATGTATATGTGTATCTGTCTTTGTTTCTGTTTATCTGTCTCTTTGTACATCTTTGTGGTTTTCTGCCTTGTCTCTATTTGCGTCTGTTTGTTTTTCTCTCAAAAGAAACTTACGGCTGTTGCCCTGTGGATCACTTGAGTTTGGGAGTTCAGAGCTGAAGTACGGCTAAAGGTCCAATAAGTCCATTACTAATATGGTGAGCCCTAAATACAGAAACTTTATGTATTTCTTTTTTAGAAGTGGAATGGAGTAAGTCAGGGGTGGGGAAAAACAAAGCAAAACAAGACAACCCTCTGCTCAAAAGCTGATTCATAGACATAGAAAGTAGAAAAGACTTTTTTCCGAACATAGGATCTAAATATTTGAGTGAATTAAAGAAGATGGTGGAGAAAAGGTAGAGACTTGCCTGAGTTCTCCCCAAAACCCCTCCAAACACCTTTAAATAATGCCCTAAAACAAATTCTGGAGTAGCAGAACCCACAAAAGGACAGGGTGAAACAATTTTCCAGCCCAAAACAACTTAGAAGATCAGCAGGAAAGGTCTGTTGCAGCACAGACCCATCCCCAGCAAACCAGGAGCAGGCCTTGGGAGTGACTGAATCAGCAGCAGCAGCAGCTGCCTCCAGAGCTCTCAGCCTTCAGAGTGTATGGGAGTTGAACAACTAGTCAGAAGGAAATTAAAGGACTCTCTTTGCTGGTGCTGGGGGTAGGATTCTGCTGCTTTGCCCGTAGTTGGATCTGGTAGCAGTCCCAGGGTGAGGAAGAGCAGTAGCACACCAGCGCTTGAGGCTGCAGTAGAGTAGGGACCACGATCACACTTCCAGGGCAGAAAAGAGTGTTTATGGTCACTCACACACCAGGGCACAGGCCAGGAGAGCAGTAAACATTCCTCTCCTTAGATCATACCGCCTTGGAAGAACTGAAAACTTACAGGTCCCTGGAAGTATCTCTGAAAACAGCTGCACAAAACCCCTGAACATTGGGACAGTTCACCCTCCACATTGGAAGCAGAGCCCCACTTTAGCAAAGAGTTAAAAGTCAAGAAATAGGCTGGTAAAAATAAGCAAACACAGAAAAATTCTGACTACAGAAAGGTACTATGGTGACAAGGAAGATCAAAACACACACTCAGAAGACAACAAAGTCAAAGATCGTTAAGTCCAAAGCCTCCAAGAAAAATATGAATTGGTCTCAGGCCACGGAAAAATTCAAAAAGGAGTTTGAAAACCAAGTAAGAGATGTAGAGGAAAAATTAGGAAGAGAAATGAGAGTGACATAAGAAAACACGAAAAAAGAGTCAACAACTTGGTAAAGGAGGCACAAAAATACTGAAGAAAATAACACCTTAAAAAAACAGACTATGCTAAATGGTAAAAAGAGGTCCAAAAAGCCCAAGAGGAGAAGAATGCTTTAAAAAAGCAGGTTTGGCCAGTGGAAAAGGAGATACAAAAGCTCACTGAAGAAAAAATTACTTAAAAATTCGAATTGAGCAGGTAGAAGCTAATGACTTTATGAGAAATCAAGAAATAATAAAACAAAACCAAAAAGATGAAAAATAGAAGACAATGTGAACTATCTCATTAGAAAAACAACTGACCTGGAAAATAGATCCAGAAGAGACAGTTTTAAAATTACTGGACTTCATGAAAGCCATGATAAAAAAAAATAAAGCCTAGACATCATCTTTCAAGAAATCATCAAGAAAAACTGCATTAATATTCCAGAACCAGAGGATGAAGTAGAAATTGAAAGAATCTATTGATCACTTCCTGAAAAAGATCCCAAAATGAGAGCTCCCATGAATTTTATAGCCAAATTCCTAAGTTCCCAGGTCAATGAGAAAATATTGCAAGCAGTCAGGAAGAAACAATTCAAGTATTGTGAAGCCACAGTCAAGATAACACAAGATTCAGCAGCCTTTACACTAAAGAATTGAAGGGTTTGGAATATGATATTCCAGAGGGCAAAGAAGCTAGGGTTACAACCAAGAATCACTTACCCATAAAACTGAGTATGATCCTTCAGGGTAAAAAAAAAAAAAAAAAAAAAAAAAGAATATTCAATGAAATAGAGGGCTTTCAAGCATTCCTGATGAAAACATCTGACCTGAATAAAAAATTTAACTTTTAAATACAAGACTCTAGAGAAGTATAAAAAGCTAACTAGGAAAGAGAAATCATAAGGGACTTAATAAGATTAAACTGTTTAGATTCCTACATGGGAAGATGGTATTTGTAACTCATAAGAACTTTCTCATTATTAGGGCAGTTAGAAGTACATACATAGACACAAGGCATGGGTGTGAATTAAATCTGATGGGATGATTATCTAAAAAAAATTAAATTAAGGGGTGATAAAGAAAAATGTACTGGGAGAAAGGGAAAGGGAGAAGTAGAATGGGGTTATATAAGTTATATGACATAAAAGAAGCATAAAAGAGCTTTTACAATGCAGGGAAGTGGTGGGGAAGGCTTGAACCTTATTCTCATCAGAAGTGGCTCAAAGAGGGAATAACATACACACTCAATTGGGTATAGAAATCTATTTTACCATTCAGTAAAATAGAAGAAGAAGGGGATGCTCATAGAAGGGAGGGTGGATTGGGGGAGGTGGTAGTCAAAAGCAAAACACTTTTGGAGAGACAGGGTGAAAAGAGAGAAAGAACAGAATGAACGGGGAAAATAAGATGGAGGGAAATAATGTTTGCAGTCATAACCGTGAAAAAAAATTTTGAAGCAAGTTTTTTCTGATAAAGGTGTCATCTCTCAAATACAAAGAGAAATGAGTCAAATTTATAAAAATAAGTCATTCCCCAACTGATAAATGATAAAAAATAAGAACAGTCAGTTTTCAAATGAAGTAATCAATGCTATCTATAGCCATATGAAAAAAATGCTCTAAATCACTATTGGAGAAGTGCAAATTAAAATAATTCTGAGGTATTACCTCATAGCTATTAGATTGGCTAATAGGACAGAAAAGGAAAATGACAAATGGTGGAGGGCATGTGGGAAAAAATGAGACATTAATGCACTGCTGGTGGAGTTGTAAACTGATTCAACTATTCTGCAGAGCAATTTGGAACTATGGCCAAAGGGCTATAAAACCATGCATAACCCTTTGACCTAGTAATACCACTACCAGGTCTGTATCCCAAAAGAGATAAAAAGCAAAAGGGAAAAAGACCTATCTGTACAAAAATATTTATTGCAGCTCTTTTCTGGTGGCAAAGAATTGGAAATTGAGGGCATGCCCATCAATGGCTGAACAAGTTGTGGTGTATGATTGTGATAGAATACAATTGTACTATGAAAAATGATGAGCTAGATGCTCTCACAAAAACCTGAAAAGACTTACATTAATTGATGCAAGGTGAAATGATTAGAAACAGGAGAAAATTGTGCACAGTAATGGCAATATTGTAGGATGATCTACTGTGAATGACTTAGCCATTCTCAGCAATACAATGATCCAAGACAATTCTGAAGTACTTATGATAGAAAAATGCTATCCATCCCCAGAGAAAGAACTGATGGAATCTGAACACAGATAGAATCATACTCTTTTTACTTTCTTTATTTTTCTTTTTTTTTATTTTGGTCTATATTTTCTTTTACAACATGATTAATATGGAAATATGTTTTGCATTACTACACATGTATAACCTACATCAAATTGCTTGCCTTCTCAATGAGGGAGTGGGGAAGGAGGGAGAAAATTTGGAACTCAATTTTTAAAATGAATGTTGGAAATAGTTTTTACATGTAATTGGGGGAAAATACAATACTAAATGAAGCAAAAAACTGGATTAAAATGCTGCATTCCTCAAGCTCATTTTCATGCTTTTTTCATTTTCATTTGCAACATTTTGCTTAGCCATCAAATACTCTTAAATAATGTCATACACCCTGGAGTTGTTCCTTTGGTATATAGGAATAGTGGTGATAATAAAATGTGCTTGGGAAACCTTAAAGCACTATTTAAAAGTGAGTTGTTATTATCCCATCCTCATCTTTTTTGGTGGGTTTCTAATAGAATCAGTCCTGAGACAAGACACTATTCTGCTATTATTTAATTTAAAATTATTATATTCGACTATTATGATACCTAACGTTCTATGAACCATTGTACAAGGGATAAAATATTATTGTTACTATTCTAATACCTGAAGGATCTGTGATTTCATCAGTGTGGGGAGGGAACTCCAAATGTGGGAACTCCCTCTGTCAATTCAGATTATAACCTATCTCTGACTTAGTGGAAAAGTCCTCTGGAGTTGCCTGAAGTTTCTCCTCTACCTTCCGCCCTCTCCTCCTTCTTTATTACCATCTTTGTCTGTAGTCATTTAAGAAGTCACATGCATTGTGAGTCCTCATGCTGAAAGCTATCCTCTCCATCAGCCAGCGATTTTCTCTCTCAATGAATCGAAGTCTTTCTGTCTCCTTCTGTAGAGTACAGGGACAGGGAAAAGACCATTTTTAGAATGAGGGGGAATCAGTCCTCTTTGGGAGCATCAGCATTTTTACTAGACCTGTCTTTGATTCCCTCTACTCTGCATTTGCTTTCCTCTAGTTAAGGGCCCGGCTAGGTAGGTATTGAGTGCTACAGTACAGAAATCTTCAGAAATCATGGAAACAATCATGAGGGTGAGCTTTTCAAATGAATCCTTTGTGACCTTGAGTACACAAAAATGAAGACCACCCTCATGCTCTGAATAGAGGTTAAGAAAACAAAGGTGACAAGGAATGTGGTAGCATTAGGTCACCCCTCAATAACACTGGAACATGACAATGGTAACGGAGAGAAAAGCAAGTCTCCACGGGGGAGGTTTCACAGGGCTCCAAAGTAAAAAACCTTTGAGGCCAGAGGAGAAGGCTAGTCTTTCACTACATGTCTGACTATTTTTTTTCTTTCTGGTGAGGCAAACAGGGTTAAGTGACTTGCCCAGGGTCACACAGCTAGTAAGTGTTAAGTGTCTGAGACTGCATTTGAACTCAGGCGCTCCTGACTCCAAGGCTGGAGCTCCATCCACTGTGCCACCTAGCTGCTCCCATGTTTGACTTTTTAGACTTCAGAAATGCTAGCCTGGATTGCTCTGAGTTGGTTGTTTGTATTTGATCCTGTCCATTTAAGACTACTTCTTGATTCCTTGATTCCTGGTTTTATTTCTCTCTTTAAAATGAATGAGCTCATGCTACTTTTTTTAATCATCACCGTCAACCCCAACATACAGAGGCAATACCATTTAAGAACAAAGAAATAAACAAATGAAAACCTCAAACCATGATATTTTGATTTCATGATCAGATATTATCTGAGTAACCATGCCGCACCAACTCTCCACATGCAGCTGTACCTTTCTCAAAATACAGTTAAGTGGTGAAAATTACCCTAACCTTTAGAACTGGCAGAGTGCTTAGCTGATAGGAATATATTTTTTAATCATATTTCTACTACTATTTTCCTTCTATCTCCCCTTATAATTTTAAAAAATTAGTAATAAGGGGTAATGCTAAGAAAAAGGGACTTCTGATGCAGTGACCTCTAAAGCTTTATTCAGGAGCAAGTGAGGTTAAATTGGTTTTTCCAACTGTGTCTTTTTTATAAAATATGATTAAAAAAAAACCAGTTATTGTGCCTGACCTTTTAAATTCCCTGGGTTTGCAGCTGACTTTTTTTTTTATTGTTAGCTATTACATTAATCTAGAGAAATCACCCAAAGGATACCTTGAATTTCTTTAGATTGAGTTGAATATGGTTGTAGATCAAAGGAGAACTACAATCCACTACTGCTTTGGCATTCTCAACCTGTAAGCAGAAAATGAACATTTTTATTCCAAGTGCAGACAATCAAATAAAATCTGCCAAGATTTGTAGCCACATTGTTATCAGAAAGGGAATCACAGTTTTGTCCCCTAAAACAATGTTACTAGCTTGACGACTCACAAAGGGAGTGTGTGCTACAGTCACCTCATACCAACTTACGGAGCTAATTGTTTAATTTTCAGTGTGAGTATTTACACCTTGAAAATAGGCAAAGCGCTACAAATCGAGACTTGGTTTGTTCTTTTATTGATTGTCTAGACTTAAGAGAGTGATGGAGAAAATGTTGATAATAGAGGTTAGGCTTAAAAGTGTGTCTTACAGGATTTGTTTGTTTTCCTCCAAGTAGCTGGTTGTTAAACATGTGTCAGAACCCCCACCCCTAGAACTTCCAACTATGAGTACTCTCTCTACCAGTGGAGATCGAACCCCTTTTAGTCAAAAAAAGCATTTATTAAGCAACTCCTATATGCCAGGCACTGTGCTAAGTGGTGGGCCTATAGAGACAAGCAGAAAGCCAACATTGCTGTCAAGGACCTCACAGTCAAATGAAGGAGTCACAACATGCAAACAACATGTGCCTCAATAGATAGTTTTTATGAGGTGCTAGAGGAAAACTAAACAGAACAAAGCATCCCTCATGCCAAACTTCCTGGTGATGAGCCTTTCCACGCTAGTTCCACCTAGTTCTTGGAACAAAGATAAATAACCCAAGAATGACCCTATCTTCCAAGTCTTTCTGGTTTGGTAGACCTTCAAGGGCTTCTGAAAGGGTAAATCAAGCCACTGCCAAGTGGAGGAATATCTGTGTTTGTATGTGAATGTATACACACCGAGGAAGCAGATTAGATATGAAACAGAAGATAAATAGATATGGAATTTAGAAATATATTTGTATATGGACACATATACATAAATATATAACATACAAACACAGATCAATACTACCACTTTTCATAGTACCAGTGATTTTACTGGTATAGGGAACTTCTGGTGTCTTTTTATTAGGTTAGGGATGACTCTTGAATCTTCAAGATAACACTGAATACATAAATCTTTTGACTATATCGTTCTCCTCTTCTGAATTTGTGTGTTGCTTTATGTATGTTTGTCCAAACCCCTCCAAGATTCAATAAGATTCTTATAAGCCAGCATATCATTTCCTATTTCTTTTAACTCCTAATGACTACTTTAGTACCACATACACAGTAGGTTATAAATACTGAGAATAACAGAATTTTACTAGAAATTGTCTCGTTCCAGTCCCTCATTTTACAGATGAGAAAACAGAGGCCCACAGAGAGAGCTCAGTAGTGGCAATCAAAACTGGAACTTAGCTCTCTTGATTCTCAGGACTGTTCTCTTCTGCTGTACCTCAATGCCCTTCGTTCCCTATTCCCTAAGGGAAATCCTGGACTACATCTTTGTATTTTGTCTTTTTTTTTTTTCATAATTGTGGGGATAGGTTAGAGGGTATGTAAAATTATTCTTTTAAAGAATAAACTAGAGATAGCCAGAAGATGAGCTAACTAAAAGGCCTGCCAATCTTCCATCTTTGAAACTGCTGAGGATAAAACCTTTCCTTTTCCCTTTTGGAATGGCAGGGAATCATCCCTCCCTACCCCTCCCCCCACCACTAGGTAAATGGAAGGGTTTTCTCTAATAGTCTATGACATTCTGAATTATCATAGATTTTCAGGTGTATCTGTCAAGTACAGATTTATGACATTCTGAATTGTCAGAAAATTGGGCAGATTCATTTTATGTATTCTTCTTCACAATGACCTTGTTGGATAGGTTTTCATTTTGCTATTTCTCTTGAAGAAACTGACATGTAGGTAACCAGCATGACTTTCCCAAGTTCGCATTTGTCCAGTGATAAACCCGAAATAGGAAGTGACAGTGAAGAAACCTGTTTTACTGGTAGTCCCCAACTCACAAACTGATTCTGAAAATTTGTTTACAGGTTAATTGTTTGTAATGTAGAATGCATTTATCCATAGAAACAGTGTTGTCAGTGGTGGTTGGGGTAACAGGCCACAAAAGGCTATGTGACCCACAAGGTAGTTGAACCAAATGCTCCAGAAACTTTTTTTAAAAATCAGGTTTGTTATTTCATCTGTGTAGGGAGCTTCTGGTGAGAAACTTCTACCTTAGAGAGTGTCAGAGACAAAACCTGAATCTAGCCCTTCCTTAGGACTTTACACCATTTTGTCTTTCTGTAGAAACTTTCATCTATTACATTGTTTCTTTGGGAAAAATCTATTTGGAGCCCAAAAATAAAAGACAGGATTAGGAACACATCTGTCTGTACTCCTCATTGTGCTGGATGGGGAGGGAAGGCCTTTCCTTTTTACAGCCACCATAGTGAACCATCACTGAAAGTATCTTCCTGACACAGCTTGATGAGTGTTGGCAAAGGCTATGCAGCAGTGACCGTGCAGGGGTAGGCACAATGATGTAGGAGTGGAGTCAGAGGACCTGGGTTTGAATCACAGCTCTCCTCTTCATTTGGTACAAGACCTTGTGCAAGTCACATCATCTCTTTTAGTCTCAGTCTTCTCATCTATAAAGTGAGCAATTGCACTAAGTGATCTCTAAAGTCCCCTTCAACTCTGATATTTTGTGACCTTCTTAATCGACACAATTTTCATCTATGTCTTTCTATAAATCTTTCATAGAGGATTTGATAAAAGATATGTCCTAAAACATGCTACACTTAAAACCATATTATGTTTAATGGAGATTGAATTAAATGGTCAACATATATAATAAAACTTATGGGAAATGGTGATAAAAATTTCTTAAACCATGCCTAAAATTCCTTTTAGATTTCCATGTAAAATAATAATATTTCACAAATATTGTTTTATGTAATCCTTCTGTTATCTCTGCATCAGGGGAAGAAACTGTATTCTTTAATGAAATGCAGCATACATAATTAGAAAGATTTGACAGGCCCTGAATACATCACTTCACTAGCATTTTAATAATAAAAAAAAGTATCCTGAGAAAGGCTATATACTAGGAGGGGTCCTTAATCTTTTTTGTGTCATAGACTCCTTTGGCAGTCAAGTGAAGCCTACTGGCCCCTTCTCAGTAGAATGCTTTAAAATGTATAAAATAAAGTACATGGGATTATAAGGGAAATAAATTACATTAGAATACAGCTATCATTTTTTATGATGAACCCCAGGTTAAGAATCCCTACTATAGACCAAAATATAACTTTCAAATGCCATGCGTGAAGAGTCAAATCCTGTTTTTCAGAGGCCTGTGTATAACTATGATGGATATTAGCAATATGCCTCTTCATCCCCCAGTGGAGGTATTGAACTACCACCTTATTTAGCTGCTGTTGAACAGGGGCTACTGAATATATAATTATTTCTCTTATGTGGACTAATTTCTGTTCTCTCTTCTTGCCATTTGTATCTTCTTGGACCCAGAACACTAGATTTGATCAAAACTGGCTCCCTGCTTTGATGAGTTAAAGCTACCATACAGGATACACAAGCAGTCCCCATTAGTGTGGCTAATGAGCTCAACTGGGCATACATCTATAAATAGCAGAACAACACTTCCTAATAATGAAACCAATAAGATGTTGAGAAAGGGTCTCCTGAGACAAGTCCAATGTGGTGGAATCCCTCCCTCTTTGCCAGCATCACTCAGACACAGCTAGCATGTGGCAGTCAGAAATGTGTTGCGGGGAAACAGACAGTGTCAGAGAAATGGATAGGGAATCAGAAGGGTCTCCTTCAGCCCTGACTCTGTAGTCTGGGTAATGAGAGAATACACTAAAGACTGCTATCTGGTATTTAACCAGAAGATGGTGCTTATTAGCCTTTCTCCTATAAACTCCCATTTGTGAAATACTAGAGAGAGAACTATCCTCATTTGGATCTGAAAATATTGCTTGTCTATCAAAACCATCCATGCTCAGTTACAAGGTTAGAATTGTGCCTACCTTTCTCCTGTGGTCTTTGTAGGCTCTCTCCCACGATTTCTGGTTGAATATATTTTCACAGTAATTAAACATAGGGTGGCAGGACCGATGCATTTCAAACTGTTTGATGGGTCTGTGCACCTCTTCACAGAGAGATATCACTTTAACACAAACCTTCATGCAAAGCCCTGGAGACTGTACTTGTGTTTGTAGGAGATCACATGGTAGTTGTCATGCCATCCAAACTAAAGGGAAGAAAAAGAATAGCTGGTGTAGCTTTTCAAACAGTATATAGAATGGCAAAGAAGAACGAATTCCAGTATTCCAAGGGGATAGTTTCTCAATAGTACTTTAATAGAACAGAAATTCCATTTTGGTTACCTCTTATCCCATTTGCCCAGTGACTGAGGAAGAAAATATACCAGATGGATGTTAAAATATTCCTTTTTTCTTTTCTTCTCCTTTCCTCTCTTCTCCTGTCCTCTCTTCTCCCCTATTCTTTCCTTCCCTTTCCCCTCTCTCTTCTCTTCTCCTCTCCTCTCCTTTTCTCTCCTTTCCTTTCCTAATGGAGTCACAAAGAGTCAGACCCAATTGAAACAAATGAACAACAAAAAACAAGCAGAGAATCTATTAGAATCCATGGAATATACTACCTATATATAATTGTTTGCTTCTGGAAAATCATTACCAGTCAAATGTTCTGGTCTCATTCACACAGACTCTGCCTCAAACATTGCTTTGATTTTTAATGTGGTCAGACATTTGTATATGGCAGTGAGTTACTGGAAACAACAGTGGATTTGGAGTCAAGACTTGGGTTTGAATCCTGCTGCTGCTACAATTCATCTCTGTGTCTTTGTGCAAATCAATTCTCCAGTCTGGGATTTAGCTTCCTAATCTATAAAATTAGGAAGGTGGACTTCATAACCTATAAGGACCTGGATAGTTCTAACTTAAACGTCCTATTCCTCTTTTAAAAGTCAATCAAAATTCACCTACCATTTAATATTCAGTCTAGAGAGAATCTGATCTCCATATTTTTAAGCCACACAATGAACACTTCTAATGGATGTGGCTAAGAAATTGTTTGGTTTTCTGGCAGGCCACTGTGGTACTGGTTAGTGCATTGGAGATACATTAAGAATATCTTTTGTAATTAAAGACAGTATAAGGGAGAAAAGGTTAAAAGAGGAGGTTGATCCTTTTTTTGCAGCAAAAGTTTAAAATATTATATTTCTAATCTGCATAAAATGTCATATTATAAGCCACAGCGTCAGACAAACACTTTAGTGATCACCCTACCTAATCTTTTACCAATTGTATGCCATTCCAGAGATTCAGATATGCACAAGAGAGTTCAGTTGTTGCCCTCTGAGGGCCAAAGTGAGATGGAAACATACATAAATTAATGTTGAACACGACCAACAAAGGCGTGCCAATAGTGTAAAAAAAAGTGAACCGTAAAAAATAAGTTGTGATTGCTAGTTTAACTTTTCCCCACTTATCAGATTGGAATCATAGAAATTTTGAATTAGTAAAGATGCTAGAGATTATCTAGCCTAATCCACCACCCCATTTCCTTGTTTTAAAAATGGAAAAGAAAATTTCTCAAAATGTTAGTTATACATTTCACACCCACAAAAGGTCAGTTATTAAAATAATGCTGTTGTGTAGTGTTGTACTGGATATTTCTATGTACATCTTCTGGATAATTCAAATTATAGATAATGTTTACTTGAACTATGAAGACAATAAAGATTTAACATTCATTTTTGGACCTATCTTTCCAGCTAATTTGTATGTACAAACCAAAGTTCTAGACAAATAAATCTTATATTTGTCCCAGCTTAAGGTTAAAATTAATTCGGTTTTTTTTTTTTTTGCTAGGCAATGGGGTTAAGTGACTTGCCCACGGTCACACAGCTAGTGAGTGTTATGTGTCTGAGGCTGGATTTGAACTCAGGTCCTCCTGACTCCAGGGCTGGTGCTCTATCTGCTGCACCACCTAACTGCCCCTTAGGGTTAAACTTTATGTTACCCTGGTACATCATTAAGTTATGTGCTAAATGTATTATTACATTTGTAAGTATGTATTAATGAAAATCAATATTTAGATTTCCTGTGACAGTGATTTCTGGTTTGAAGTCTGCTTTTTATTTTCCCTCAAAGGAAATATAAGAAAATAGGTGCTCAGTAACAGAGTGTCCAACTTATTTCTCATTCCTTAAGCAAGTTTATTTGGGGGGGGGGATAAAATTTTTAATATTACTGGGAAAAGTGATTGACTAGGAATGAGGAGACCCAGGTTCTAGCCCTTGTCCTGCATCTTACTACCTGTTTGACCTTGAACAAGTCACTTAACCTCTCTTAGCCTCAGTTTCCACATCTGTAAACTGAGGGAGTTAGATTAGATCAACTCTATGTCCTTTCCAGCTTAAAAATCCTGTAACTCAACTTCAAATTTACTCAGCTTTGGGAAGTAAAGTATCTCTTGTTGACTAATAATAGTCCCCAGTGAACCAAGCTTCAATTTCATTGCCTTTATTAATGTAATTATGACATACTGCTATGGCATTAATCAGTCAATCAATAAACCCATGGGCAGCACTAAAATGATAAAAGATGGCATTGGAAAATGACCCCCTCAGGGCAGAAGGTGTCCAACACATTAATAGAGAAGAGCAGAGGACACCTACAAGTAGTTCCAGAAAGAATGAAATGGCTGGACCAAAGCCAAAAAGAAGGAAAGTCTGATGCTACAAAAATCAATATTGCATAGAAACCTGGACTATAAGATCTTTGAACCAAGGTAAGTTTTTGTTGTTGTTCAGTCATTTTTCAGTCATGTCTAACTCTTTGTGACCCCATTTGGGATTTTCCTGACAAAGATAATGGAGCAATTTGCCATTTCCTTTACCAACTCAGAAAACTGAGGCAAACAGGGTTAAATGACTTGCCCAAGGTCATATAGCTAGTATTTGAACTCAGGAAGATGAGTCTTCCTGACTCCAGGCCTGGCATTCTATCTACTGTGCCACCTAGTTGCATGTGGTCAAAGAGGTGACAGAAAGCTTAAACATCAACATCCTGAATGTCAGTGAATTTAAATGAACAGGAATGGGTGAATTTAATTCAGATGATCATTACATGTACTCTTGTAGTCAAGAATTCTTTAGAAGAAATGGAGTAGCCTTCATAGTCAATAAAAGGGTAAGAAAAACAGTACTTGGGTATAATTTTAAAAATAACAGCATGATATCTATTTGAGTCCAAGGCAAACTATTTAACATCACTGTAATACAAGTCTGTGCTCCAACCACTGATGGTGAAGAGGATAAAGTTTCTTGGTTCTATGAAGACCTAAAACATTTTCTAGAAATTACACCAAAAAAAATGTCATATTCATCATATGCTTGTCATAGCAAACACTCTTTTTCAACTCAAAAGGCAAGTCTACACATGGATATTACCAGATGGCCAATATTCAAATCAGATTGATTTCTCCAAAGGTGGAAAAACTCTATTCACTCAGTTAAAACAAGACCTGGAGCTGACTGTGGTTCAGATCATGAGCTTCTTATTGCAAAATTAGGCTTAAATAGAAGAAAATAGGGAAAACCATCAGACTAGACCAAAACAGCATCCCTCATGAATATGAAGGGGAAGTGATGAATAGATTTAAGGGATAAGATCTCGCAAATAGCGTGCTCGAAGAACTATGGAGAAAGGTTCACAATACTGTACAGGAGGCAGCAACAAAAAACATCCCCCCAAAAAAGAAAAGCAAGAGAGCAAAATGTCTCTCTGATAAGGCTTTACAAATAGCTAAAGAAAGAAGGAAAGGGAAAGAGAAAGGAGAAAGGGAAAGACATCCTATATGAATGCAGAATTCTAGAGAATAGCAAGGAGACATAAGATTTTCTTAAATGAGCAATGCAAAAAAAATAGAAGAAAACAATAGAATAGGAAAAACAAGAAATCTCTTCAACAAAATTAGAGATATCAAGGGAACATTTCATGCAAAAATCAGCGTGATAAAAGACAAAAATGGTAGGGATTTAACAGGAGTAGAAGAGATTAAGAAGAGGTGGCAAGGATATGCAGAAGAACTGTACAAGAAAGATCTTAACATCACCAATAACTATGATGGTGGGGCTACTGATTTTGAACTATACATCTTGGAGAATGAAGTCAAGTGGGCTTTAGGAACCATTGCTAACCATAAGGCTAGTGGAGGTGACAGAATTCAAGCCAAGCTATTGAAAATCCTAAAAGATGATATTGTTCAAGTTCTGCATTCAATATGCCAACAAATTCGGAAAACTCAACAGTGGCCATTGGATTGGAAATATGTGTCCCAATCCTAAAAAAAGGGCAATGTCAAAGAATGTTCCAATTACCCAACAGTTGCATTCATTTCACAAGCCAGCAAGGTTATGCTTAAGATTCTGTAAGATATGCTTCAGGAATATGTGAACCAAAAATTACCATCAGAGCTAGGTGGTTTTTGAAAAACTAGAGACCAAATTGCCAACATTTGCTGGATTATGAAGAAAACAAGAGTGTTGCAGAAAAATATCTACTTCTGTTTCATTGACTTTGTGGATCACAACAATATGTGGCAAGTCCTTAAAGAGATGGGAGTACTGCATCGATCATCTTATTTGTCTCCTGAGGAACCTGTATGTGTTTTAAGAAGCAAGAGTTAGAACTGAAAAAGGAGTAAATGATTGGTTTAAGATTGAGAAAGGAGTATGACAAGGCTATATATTGTGCCTGTATTTATTTAATGTATATACAGAATACATCATGTGAAACGCCAGGCTGGAGAAATCAAAAGCTGGAATTAAGGTTGCTGGGAGAAATATCAACAATCTCAGATATGCAGATGATATCACTCTGGTGGCTGAAAGTGAAGATTAAGAAGCCTCTTGAGGAAGATTGAAGAGGAAAGAGCAAAAGCTGGCTTGAAGCTTAACATTAAAAACAATAATAATAAGATCATGGCAACTGGTCCTATCATTTCCTGGCCAGTAGAGGGAGAAGAAATGGAAGCAGTGTCAGATTTTATATTCTTGGTCTCAAAGATCATTGCAGATGGTAACTGCAGCCATGAAATTAAAAGATGCTTGCTTGGATTCACAAGCAAATTCTACCAAACATTTGAAGAACAATTAATCCC